GTAAGGCAACCCTCCTTTGAATATCTACTTGATCAAACTCATGTTTCAGCTAGAAGGAAGGAATTGCTATTGTACATGCCTGATTCAGGTATCTCTATGTCAAGTAACAAAATGTTGCTATATGTCTCTCCCCTTCCTCCTTAAGATTTTAACTTAGGAGTTAAAATCTCTTTCATCAGAAGCCATGAAAGCTGTCATCTTAAAAGAGGTGGAAACCCACCCATGCTAAGCAATCATTGCTCTTGCAGAAGGATCTGTCAATAACCTGCTGTCAGCATTTCTCTATCCTCTGCAGTGGACCAGATTGCCACACCTGCATTTTTATATGCAGAAACAATACTAGTGCTACAGTTTCATGGATGTTTGTCTTGATGGCAAAGCTGAAATTGTTTTCTTCTGCTTGCAGCTACCTTGGTAGTATTAATTCAACTCTATCTGCAGATGTCCTTTGGATGGAAGGTTTGTTGCACATGGATGAAAAACAACAAGCCAGCAACCACAAAGTTATAGCAGCGTGTAATGAGGAAGGACAATTTGGGAACAGGTATGAGCAGCTGGATGTGAAGGTTGCTTTAGTTAACTGCTGCCAAAAAAAAAGCCCTATACTGCCCCACTGAGTAAGAGAGGTAAATCTTGTCAACCAAAGCAATCTTGAAGAAAGTTTTTGTCAACATGGAGTTCCACAAAGTCTTGAGGTGTACCTAGTGTGTAGAAACACCTTGCTGGCAATCAGGGTGGATCTCCATCCTAATGGCCTAAATGCTGTATGGTATAATCAACTGCGTATGAAGCAATCACACTCCAAACTTTATCTGTGCACACTGGAGGCATCAGCCTGCCCTCTTTGTCTGACAACTTGAAAAGACAGGGTTTTTTAAAAGCATAGTTGTTGCCCTGCCCAGCACTAGAGGCCAGGAGTGAAGAGCCTGAAGAGCTCTTCTGAAATCAGCAAAGGGTTTAATTAAAAGTAGTGTTACATTCCGGGTATGCAAAATTTGAGTCTAAATCCCTTGGAGCATGCTTAGGGCACGAAGATGTGTGCAGGGTAAAGAGTCCTGCCTTGTGATTATCAGATCCAGAAATTCATATTCCTGTGTAGAACATGTCTGTGCACCAGCACGTGTCTCAAAGCAGCAGATAAATGTGTCAGAGCTCATAAATGCTGCTGAGCTAATGCAGAAGTGCCTGCACCTACTTCACACTCTTGAGATTTTAGGGTCATTGCAGGCAGAGGCACCTGCCTATCTTCACCTGTCCATGTGTACGTATCTTGTGTGTAAGTGTGAAATGATCCCCAAACCTTGGGGGTGATAAATGGCTAGAATGAGACAAAAAAACAAATTCATGCTATGGTTTCCCCTTCACTGTGTTTGTCCATCAGTTCTGGAGTACATCGTATCTTTTTCTGCCTTTGTCAAAACATACGTATAACAAGGAAGCTGTGTCTACAGTGGTAGTGAGCACTGTAGAGGATTAAGAGAAGAAAATACTGTGTATCAGTGCTAATCTTTGTCAGAGATCTAAGTAGTGGACTGATAGCTAAACTCGATGCATTTAAGTCACTACACCCATATTCTCATGAAGGAGAACCATCTAAAGGCTGTGGAAGATACGTTCACAGTGACACGGCCTCTTTAGTACAGGATGTGACACCTGGCATTGCAAAATCCTGCTCCAGGAAGGATGCTCCAGGGTGTTCCTATCACCTGTAATGCAAACAACTGCTTGGCTTTTAGGAGTATTTGAATAAAGCCCTTCAGAAGCAAGAGAAAGTTTCAAAAAGCCTCAGTGTTTTGCTTGGGTCCCATTAAGCTGCTACTTCCATGTATTGTTTTCCTGTTGCAGCTGGCAGAATATTTCTGTACACAAAGAAGTGTTTCTTCCAGCCTCCCTGTTTCCCCTGTATGGTTTTGCAACCTAAAGCTTGACATCGTAGGTGTTTTTGCTGTGGAAAGTGATAGCTGCACAAACACAGAACTGAAGTATTGCTGCAAAAATCAGACAGAAAGAGGCAGCGGAGAGAAGACAATATGCTATGACTGGGTGAGATAATGCAGAAGAGGGTTCAGGGATGGTTTGTTTACAGTGCCAGAGCATCTTCTCTTTGAAGGGAAACATTCTGTAGCAGGCAGGGGTTAGCGGGCTTTGTTCCCAGGCTCTCTGGCATCCCTCTGCCTTTCTAAGTCCCTGCTCTGCAGGTGGTTTAGAGCATCGGATCTATGTTACAGTGTGCAGTTCCTGCTGGAGTTGTAGGCTGTGTGAAGTAGCTGGGGTTGGCACTGAGAGGTGAAACAAAACAATACCTCTGATAGAAACCAGGCTGTGTGAACAAGGCTGCAAATTCCCTCCTAGGGCACTCAGGGTTATTCTTGTGCTTTTGCAGGAAACCATGTCGTGCAGAGCCTTTCATAAGCCAAGCGTGCTCACAGCTAGCTCTAACAGCTAAATTATTCAATATCGCGGATAAGCTGCCCGCATTTAGACTATTGCTGTGTTCTTGCTGATGTGGTTTCTCCAAGGTTTGTTTCCACTTGACATACTTATAAAATGTAATGGTACCTCTGTGATGAATGCTGTATGAATGCTCTAAGCTGGTTTGGTGGCCCCATATGAGATATGGGTGACCAAATGTGGCAGGAACTGTGATGTGGATCCTGTTTTTCAAGCCAGTAATGCCAGCAGTAGCTACCTTGGGAACAGTGATTTGGGGTGATACAAGTTGTTTCTGCACTGTTTTCCTGATACTTCCTTGGCACAAGGGTTTTCCAGTATAGATCCAGCCTCTTAAGTGTTACAGCCTAAACATACTAGGAAAAAAGGGGCTCAGATGACACTGGCAGCTCAATCCACTGACAGGATTGTAACACTCTGTTCTTTTGAGCTCAGCTGAACACTGCATGCTGTGATTTCTTCTATTTTTACTGCTACCTTTCAGTGTGAAGCTGTATTTTTAGTGTGTAAATAATATAAGCAGAATACCATGCACCGCTGTATGGGGCTTTTTTATATATAAAATTTGGCTTATTGTACACAGCCTTCATGTTTCCAGTTTTTGTGTGTTTGCTGCAGGGTGGAAGTTAAGCAGGTGCTACATCCTGCAGGGAACAACGTGGGATGGGGTTGGCACCCGCAGAGAGCTGGGAGGCACCATGACACTTGAATATTTGCCAGAATTCTGGGAAACATAATTAGTTAAGCAAAACTGATATTTAAGCATTCATTTTTGTTTCAGAGCCCTTCTGAATAGGGACAGTTTAAATAGGACCCAGGTTTCAAGTTGTCAGCTGCTGCTGGAAGCTAAGGCATAATTTTTAATGATTTTTTCAGCCATCAGAGTTGCGAAGGCACAAATATGATTTTTCCAAAAGACCATCAGGCACACTCTGCAGAGGAGGGGTGGGTGAGGGATGGGCAGGAGCACAGGATCTCAGGAATCTTGATTTCAGCTTCTATGGGACAGGCATCTGTCTATTGTCACTGTATTTATATTTGAGGGAGGCTGGTGCATAAAAACAAATTTATGAGAGAAGCGTTGAGCAAATAGGATCATGGAATGGTTTGGGTTGGAAGGGACCTTAAAGCTCATCCAGTTCCAATCCCCTGCCATGGACAGGGACACCTTCCACTAGACCAGGTTGCTCCAAGCCCCGTCCAACCTGGCCTTGAACACTGCCGGGGATGGGGCAGCCACAGCTTCTCTGGGCAATCTGTGCCAGGGCCTCACCACCCTCACACGGAATAATTTCTTCCTAATATCTCATCTAAATCTCACCTCTGTCAGTTTAAAGCCACCCCCCTTGTCCTGTCACTACATGTCTTTGTAAAAAGCCCCTCTCCAGGTTTCTTGTCATCCACCTTAGGCACCGGAAGCTGCTCTGAGGTCTCCCCAGAGCTTTCTGTTCCCCAGGCTGAACAAGCCCAGCTCTCTCAGCTGGAGATACAGCCACTGTTGCCAACTTAATATGATCACATCATGTATTTCAGCAGCCCCTGCTGACTGCACTGTGTACCTCTCATTAACCTGATTCTTTCTCAGAAGAAGCCAGGTCAGAAAGAGGACTCTTCCTTGCAGCTCCTTTCCCAGTGCAGTAAAGCAATCTCCAGCAATCCAGGTAATGGAAGACCAACGCGCATGCTCTGTGTCAAGACATGTGCATGAGTTGTGTGTTGGATGTTGGCCACAGTATTTGATGCATCATATAATAGTGCTTTTTTATGCAGTTCACATTTTATCCCTGAATTTTGAGACCGGCAGTGGTGAAGGTTGTACTTGTGTATCAACACCTTTGAGAGGTGTGTTTGACTCTTTCTTTTCTCAAAGGTGACAAGCAAGAGATGACAAGAGTTACTTCTTGCTTCTAACCTCCTTTTGGAAAGGCTCTAATTTGAACATGCCGGGTACCCAGTTGTTAGTGTACACATTGTTATTTGTTGGGGAGAATTTGTATCTGGGCTGGTATAATTTCTTGTCTTCAGGAAACTTCTATTTCTAAAACTACTTCTTGTGTTTTCCTTAAACTTTATATGTTAGCTTTCTTAAAACACTGAGATGTTATGGACATGTTCCTGCAAAGCACTTCATTCTGGGCAAACTACTCCCACTTCATTAGCCAGACTACTCATAGTTTGGGGGAATACAAGCACCACTTGCTTCAGCCCCAGGCTGTTAATCATCTCATTTCTACTGAACTGGTGTGCTTAGCCCACTGCTGAAGTATGACAACCTGCAGTTCCCCAACGTGGCTATTGTATGAAAAGGACCACCCAGCATCAACACTGGAAAAGCCACCGCAGGAATTCACCAGGAGCTATTCCTGTTTCAGCAGGGCATTCCTCGCTGTCTGTTACATGGGACGGTATAACCTGGCCCAGAAATTATTCTCCTGCCCTGACCCCGAAGATGAGTCCTTGAACAAAGCCTCTGTGTGATGGCAGTAGAACCTCCTTAAGAGAGAAGAAAGGGGAGGAGAAAGCGTGGCTCCCTGGCTATAGCTACTCCACCTCCCGGTTATTTCATCTTCCTTACAAGGCCAAAGCTAGCAGCTTTCCTCTGCGCCTGGGTGCCTCAAAAGCAGCAGAGCAAGCCCGGAGAATCCCGGTGGAGTGCAGTGGGATGCGAGGCTGACAGGGACGGCGAAGAAAGCACTGGTGTGAGCCCTGCAGAGCGTCAGACGGAGAAGTCTGGGGCTCTGGCTCTGCAGAGGACGAGTGTGACAGTATCCTGTGAATGCTAAACCAGGTATTCATTGATGTAGATCTTCCAGAGAAGCATGAAAGCAAACCCAAAAAGAAATCACTGAGGGGGGATGAGTGCAACGTGAGAGGTAAGTGTATTTTTCATTGGCAGAAACAAAAATAACTGGTTTTATTTTGTTTGAAAATTGCTGTTGTAAGTAGATGTCTAAAACTGGGGACTGAAAAATACATTTACTAACAAGTGAATAAAACTGGTCTCACTCTGACTTCAGAGGCAGCGCTGGGTAAAAAAACTCCAATCAACAAATGAATTCAGGTGCCTCTGAAAATTCTTTTTCTCTTTAGGTATTTGCACATTAAAACTTCTTTAAAATCTGCTTTTCTGTTTGCTCTCTCTGCTATTGCCAAAGGTTTTTGAGAAATAGTATGCATGTTGCAGATGCTCCTGTGCCCTTGTTCTTGCAATAGGGCATTTCTTCAGAAAGATCCATGACCTACTGAGCTGGAAGTCTGACATCTGGTTGAGGTTACCAGAGATGGTATTTGGGATTCAGGGTTTGTTTTTTTCCCAGTTTAATTGAAACAAGCTGAGATTGTCTACATGTTCTACGAATTGTTTCCACGCTCTGACCATCCAGTCTCTCTGAAGGGTAATTCTAGGACTGCTGAATCTGAACTGGGAAAGAAGAAACACCTTGACAGTTCAAAACTGCAGCCCCTCTGTGTGTCATGCTGCCAGTGAGAGTGGCTGAAGGATGGAAGATTTTGCCCCTTGTCTGTAAGAGGCATATTTAGCAAATATGACACTACTATGTTTAGCATAACTGTAAGGTGCAATACTTGGGGTTTTGATTTACATCTTTGCAACACTAAAGGACTCACAGATTCTTCTATTCACCAGGTGAAATGAGATCAAGAGACCAGAGGATCACTACACGGCTCCTGCAGATTCTCATGTAAGGCACCAGTTCAGCCTTCCAGCAAGTGTATGTGGAGGTGCAGGCTGAGCAGCCAAAGATGGAAGTGCTACGCCGTTCCTCAGTCTTTGCTGCAGAGGTGATGGAGGTTTTTGACAGGTCTCCCACTGACAAGGAGCTCGTGTCCCAGGCCAAGGCTCTCTGCAGAGACTACATCAATTCCAGGCTAATTCGAGCAGGTGTCAGCTGGAGCAAACCTGAGTACAATGCACCAGTGCCTGGCGGTAAGCTGGCCGAGGTGTCCACCATACTGCTGCGACTGGGTAAGTGCCTGCAGGTATGGGTGGGAACTGAAACTATATGGAGCAATTCAGACCAGGCTAAGGTTTCTGGAACTGATGAGTGCCAAGAGGCTTTTCACGTTGATGATACAGAGGGTTTTCTTCTCTATTTTGGGCATTTAGATTTTGTTTCAGTCATATTCCCTAAACAGCTCATTTACTTACGTTTTATCAGTCCCTTGGAGCACAGCTCAGCGCAGTGCTTCTGCAGAGCTACTTTTTTCTGAGGACTTGGAACAACTTAAAAGCATCATGCAGTCCAATGAAGCCCAACAGCAAACTAATTTTATCTGCACAAGACTCCAGCTGTGAAACAGTTCTCACAGTAGTTGCAGGAGTCTTTCTCAGCTTGGCACTTTAACAGGTCTTGCGTTGTTTTCTCCAGATGTGACTTGTCTCTCGAGATGCAACCCAAACTTCCATCTAGTAGAGTTCTGCTACCTCTGGACTCGGTGCTTCATCAGTTGCTTGCCCAGCAGCAAGGTGTACTTGCTTAGACCATGTGTGTTGGAGATTTTGCAAAAGCCCCTTCTCAATGACAGGATGATGACAGTGTGCTTAATTTTCCTCTGCCTGCCTGAATCGTGAGCAAAACATGAGTTTTCTTGCTTCTTCTTGGAGTTGGCTGATGCTGCCTGTCATACACTGCCCAAACTTTCCAGCCCTCATCGTGGACAAGTGACTGCCAGGGTGCAGGAGGAGCAATTTGAAGGTTATGCCTGTAGGCTGCTACCTGAAGACATACTCTGGAGTTGTGCTTACAACAACAGCACCTACTAAATGCTGACAGTTGCCTGGCCTTTTGCTTTAGGTTTTAGCCTCCTGTTCTCAAGTCTAGCTGCTTGTCTTTCAGGATGCTGACACCCTCATTCTCAGAAGTTGCTTCTGACATCCCTCTTTGCCTGCAGGCTAGTACATTAGTTCACATCTGGCTTGGAAACTACCACTAACATTTGCATCTGATTTAATCTTACAGAAGTTCAAATTAGTTTGGTGAAGTAATCTTTAGCTGGGCTTAACAAACTCAGGATCAGGCTGGTCTCCCCATTTTCTCCCCTTTCTTAGTGACTTCTTTTTCATTTATTCTTGTCCACTTTTTCTCTCCTATGCTGATTTTACTTCTTTTTTTCCAATGGTTGTTTGGTCTTTGGAGGTTTTTTTGTTCTTCTGTCAATCCTACTGCCTCTTTGAACTCCATTTCTTCTCTACCTGGGTTGGGGGTTGAGATCTGTTTGCACAGATCTTCTGTGGGTGGCCAGGAACATGTTAAAGGGCAAGCAGGTGGCAGACTGCATCTGAAGGCGTCTTCTGAATGACTCTCCGGTTACTTACTTGTGTCCAGATGGAAAGATTTGGCTGACGGTCCCAAGAACTTGACGCCTTCTCTGACAAATCTGTTTGTGGTACCCATGCAACAAGAAGGGTGAGCAGTCCTCCTCGTTAGGATGAAGAGTTGTTTTCATCCTGTTTGTTCAGAAGCTCTGCCTGCCACATGGCCTGTGTCTTTCTTTTCCCCTTTGCTGCTATAACCATTACAAGTCCAAGTAGTACCCAGCCACCTGCCAGGAATGGTAGTGCTCAGCTGCTTGCTAAGCAGCGCAACAAGGCAGGCTAGTTTTTGCTCAGTGATAGTGCTGAGAAGCCCATGGAGATGATAAGCTGGAGTATTTCCTAGCCCTCTTGAGCACAAGGAGTCTGATGAACTGGCTGGTGGGTGAGCGGAGGTGCTGGGCACAGGTGATGCAGTTGCAGTCTTGGGGAGCAAGAGCCCATCAGCTCAGTGAGGATTAGCAGCTAACTAGTGCAATTGAGTCAGAGTTAGTAAAACTTAATGGTATAGCCAAAGAGATACCCCAGACCAACCTGCCATAGGTGTCAGAGGTCTGGTTTATTTGAATGTCTCTCTCCTCCGGCTAAGACCCAGACAAGTGCCCTTTTACCACTGAACTGAGCTTCTGCATGTGAAAATTGTGACTGCTGTCCTGACTATTCCTCCATAGCTCCTGGAGGAACAAGGAGAAGCACAAAAATTGCTCTGGATGTTGCAAAGTGTACAGTCAGGCACTGGAACATGGGCACCAAGGACTGCCACCAATGTAAGGTGCTGCTGGAGAGGACCTGTGGCTGCCTGGGCAGGCAGCCTCCCTCAACTTGGGACTGCTTTCCAAGTGCTTTTCTTCAGTCAATGCTCTTGCCTGCCCTGTGCATTGCTTCAGGGCAGGGCCTGCTTTAACAACACATGTGCCTCCAACCAAAACCTGATCTCATCTGTGGCCTCCAGGCACTGCTTGTTAAAAACTGTAACGGTGGCAAGCTACCAAGTGCTGATCCCACCCTCCCATGCCTCCATCTCCACTAACCACAGGCAGTGCTATCCCTATTTCCCTACATTTACCAGGAAGCCTGTATGCTCCTTGCAAAAGAAAACAGCTGTTGAGTAATGCAACTAAGGTTTTCCTGTATCAGGGCTGAACATATGTTGGCAGGGTTTCCTCTTGCCATCAGATTGTGTGAGACAATCCCACATTCATAAAGGGCCTGGAGAGCTCGTCTGTGGTATTCAGTAGAGCTGGTCTTTGCCTATGCTGTGCTGGGTGCCAGCTAAATGACTTAAGGATCAATAGCTACTGACTCTGTAACAAGCTCCTGATTGAGGTGGCATCTTCCTTTTTAGTTCCCACAAAAATGATATTTTCAGGAGGATCAATCTGCCATCTGACTGGGGCAAGTCATCTGGGTTTTGCAGTAGGATGTAAGGCTGTTGTGCCAGATTTCCTCTTCCCTGGGTGCCCTACAGCACCCTTGTGCAGAAGGACATGGAGTGTCCTTCTAAATCCAGATAGGACTCTCCATTTGAAAAGGGCCTTGGTCCCATGCAATGTATGCGTTGTGTCGTGCTCCTATGGCAGCTGTGCAACCCTCATTAAATATCTGTGAACACCAATAGACAAATCCATTGGAATGGATTTTTTTTTAATATACATATAATGAGCTTTATTAATTCTACTGCTGAAAAACAGTTTGTTTTGCCACAGAGGATAAGTTTCACTGCTGTTGCCCGTGCTCCATAGCTCAAACCTGTGGGAGGAGGTTCTCTGCTTGTCCTTGGTATTTCCATCTTCATCTTCAAGCCAGCCTAACACCTCCAAACATTTCCCAGCTGGAGGAAAAACAACCTGGAAGTGAAAGCGTGTGTCTCTGTGTGTCAGCAGCCTTGTTGCTGAGGAGTGAGCCAGGCAAAAGAACATCTCTTTAACCATTTGGAGGAGAGAAAGACAAGATCGTCACTCAAGTGCCTGTGTGAGAGGAAAACAGCTGAGCTGATAGCCTCTGTACAATTATCGTCATGCAGCTCTGGGTGGATCTTTGACTTTCATCAGCCTCCAGCATTTTTGAGTCACTCTCATCTTGATGCTTTTTGTACAAGTCTGATGGGGTGTTGAGAAAGGGTGTATCTCTCAAAAGCTTACATAGATGTACATGCCTCCTTTCCACTTCCAAAGAAAAATGAGATGGCTTTGCTTATCTGAGGCCTGTCTCCTGCACTGGAGGAAAGACAGGCAGCAGGGAAACATCATTTATAATTGGGGATTACTGCAGCTACACCACCTGTATAGGGCTATTGCCTGTCCCCCAAGCACAGGGGATGTTAGGAGAGCAGGCTGCAGGTAGCAGGGGTTGCATTTAAATGACCCTGCTGCCTGCTTAAACTAAGGTGAATCTGGGGTTAAGTCTCTTTGGCTGAAGGGATACGTGAGGTGGCCCCAGCTGTAATTCCTACGTGGTGAAAGCAGGACTTGGTGTTCCGCATGTTGACTCCTGACCATTTGTTTCCAGGGGATGAGCTGGAATACATTCGCCCCAACGTCTACCGGAATATCGCCCGCCAACTGAACATCTCCCTGCACTCGGAGACAGTGGTGACAGATGCCTTCCTGGCAGTGGCAGCACAGATTTTCACCGCAGGTACTGTGCCCTGACAGATACGCAGACAGGGCTGGGTGGAAGGGAACAGGATGGAGCCACCTCTCTCAGAGAAGGCATATTTCTGGGATAGCCTGCAAGGTGGGGCCTGAGAGGGCAGTTTGGCAATGTGCCCTGCTTTAATGATTTAATGACAGCTCCGCTATGCTCTGTTGTTCTGGCAGGGAAATGCCCTGTTTTATTATATCCTCCTGGCAGGTTCTCTCTCATTCTAGAAGGCATCTCCTGCCCTTCCTTGTTAGGAGGTGGTGTTACCTTCTTGCACAGGGAGGCCACTCATTCCAACCTCCTTTGCTCATCATTGGCAACAGGAGAAGATTCATTACATGGGAGTCTCCCTTGTTCCAGCTCACACTGCTGATGCTAGGAGCCAGAACCAACTCATCACAAGGGAGTTCCTCTCTTTCTGGCTTCCTTTCCCACAGCAATAGCCAGAACTGCAATGAGCCTGCTGCTTCCAGTTGCTGCTTCTGCTTTCTGACACTCAGAGGGTCCTGGCCCTCAAGGGCAGCTGTTCCAGATGAGCATGTGCTTTGTCCTTCTCGCTGTTTAGGTGTGAATGTTCCTCTGCTTCTGTTTGACTGGTGTCAGAGATGATTGTCAAAAGCAAGGATACATTCTGTGCTGTGTTCTTGCAACAGAGCCTCAGTCTGCCACGAAAACAGTCGCTGCCTGTCATTGGGATGCAGTCGGTGGGAACCACGGGAAGAGAAACATTTTACATGGAGATTTATGTCATGCAAGTCCTGACATGGTTTGTAGGCTTTCTGCAATGTCTTGTTGTGCTGTCTGTGGAAGGGACAATAGATGTTAGAGACTGGAAACTAAACAAAACAAAAAACCAAAGAGAGCTACTTGCCACAGGATAGTACTGTGAAAGGACTGGATCCAGTGACATTGACATGGTAAGCGTCAATGTAATTCTTGTACTTTGGGAGTAGGATAGAAGTCCAGGTTTTTGTTGTGCTTTCAGATAGGCTTCCTCACTCAAACCCTTTTTACTTTCACAATTGGCTATGCTTATCTAGGAGGACGAACTGTATGGGAACCACTGACAGCCTGGAGAAGCCCTGTGCTGGCACCCTGGCCTTCAGACCTAAAGTGTGTTGTGGTGGAAAGCACAGATCCTCTCCTGAATCACAACAGATGACAAAATAGATCTCTGAGAGGGACTGCTCAAGCAGGGCTCCTGGCAGGTTGAGCAGGGCAGATGTCCTCCCTGGATGAGCAAAATTGACGCTGTGTCATAGGAAATGTATGGAATTGAATTCTGTGGCTAGCACTGCAGCCCTCGGCATTCTTTCAGATCATGCGTGGAATGCAGATTGCCTTTGCAGTGGGCTGGCTTGGGAGGCTCTGTGGGCCTGGAAAGCAAGAGCTGGGCAAGTATGTCAGGAATGTCTGAGTGTGGCTGTGTTCAAAGTGCGGGTGCCCTGTCTTGTCACTTAGAGCTGAGCTTCACTTGTGTCAAGGCTTGCAGAAAAATGAAGGTCAAGTTTGCAGGCTCAGGTATTTGCATTGCAGGTAAGCAGGTTATCTTCTTGGATGACTATAGCTGACTACAGGACTGGCCCACCTCCAAAGCTGAAGTGACAGGGAATTAAGCCAGAAAGGTGGATGGCTGTGGGTGGAGCAGGCTGCATGCTGCTGTGCTGCAAAAACCTGATGCTGGGGAGAAGGTCCTGCTGGCTCCTGGGATTCCTGCTCTCACCAATGTATACTGACACATTCATTGAGAGCTGCATTTTTCTGTGTGTGTTCTTAGAATCATAGAATCATTTAGATTAGAAAAGACCTTTAAGATCATCGAGTCCAACAGTTAACCCAGCACTACCAAATTCACCACTAAACCATGTCCCTAGGTACCACATCTATAAGTCTTTTAAATACTCCCAGGAATGATGACCCAACCACCTCCATGGACAGTCTGTTCTACTGCTTGACAACACTTCCAGTGAAGAAATCTTGCCTAATATCCACTCTAAACCTCCCCTGGCACAACTTGTCCTCTTGTCCTACTGCATTTTATGTGGGAGAAGAGACTGACACCCACCTCACTACAACCTCTAGAACATAGTTCTAGACAGCAATAAGGTCTGCTCTGAGCCTCCTTGCCCAGGCTAAACACCCCCATTTCCCTTACCCGCTCCTCATAAGAGCTGTTCTCTAGAAGAAGTTGTTCTTCAACTTAGCTCAGGAGTCAAGTGCAAAGCGTGGATGGTTTAAAAAGGTTTTCTTGAATATAAAGCTACAAATTGTAACTCTTGATTCTAAAGTTGGGGGTTTCAGAACAGTAAGAACAGGATCTGGACTCAGCCCTTTGAAGCTGGAGATGATAGAGACACTGGGAACATGGTAGAAGCCCAGGCTCAAGCTCTGTTGCCAGTGCTGCCCTTTGTCTGAGGACACCGTGCTGCTTAAATGGCTGGCAGTTGGCTGCCTGCACAGGGGGTGGATTCAAATCTTCCCAGTGCTCTGTATGCTCCTCTTTTTCTTCTTTCCCACCTCTGCCTCAGAGCAACTAACAGGATAACCTGTGAGTGTGAGGCTGGGGTTGTGTACTTATCAATCCGCTATTGTAATTTTTCTTGCTAGAAAGCTGATGAGCTGCAGAGGGGAAGGAGTTCACTGATTTTTAACATTCCTGGATCCCAACTGCATTCTCAGGACTCAGCGTTTAATGCTAAATCCAGCAAATCAGAGCTGGCTGTGGCAGCCAGACATTCATTCCTGGTTTTTTCATAGTTCAGAGCAAAGAGGCTCTTATTGAGCAGAGGAAACCAGAGGCTCAAGTGCAGTCTGAGTTTTCATGCCAATTACCAATGGCTTAAAGCATCTCCAGTCTGGTTTTCACTGTCCAGTTTATTAAGAAAATAGCTTCAGTCTGATACTGCAGTGCCCAGACAGTCTGGGGAGCCCCATTAGTTACTCACATTGCCTTTCCAGCAAGGGGGGGGAGGGTTTGACTCTATCTTGCTGAAGAGCTTTTCTCCTTAATCCTTTACATGGCCTTCTTCCACACTCTGGCCTGGTTTTGAGTCTTCACAATGTAGCACTGGCTGTGCTTGCTTCCGGTCCAAAGTCTGCACCTCTTGACTAAGCACAAGTCCTAGATGGATTGGGGACATCTGGCATCCTTTCTGGTCCCAATGCGTGGGCACATTGTGCCATATTCAACTTTAGAGGAGTGTCTATTCCAGTTATCTCAGGTTTGGCTTTTTTCTGATGTAGCTTGAATCCCAGTTACATTAACATCTGAGAATACAGGCAGAAAGTGTGCATTTCACAGAGCATGGTAAGGCTTAAGCTGTATTTTGCTTCCCTGTTAGTTATTGAGGGTGATGAGAGTCCAGTGTTTGGAGACTGGTACTGCAGAAGCCAGACCTGCTTTGGATGCTGAAGGATCTGCAGCAGCATCACCGCTGGGACAATACCACTGGTTCTGGTGCGTGGTCCAAAGCTGCTCTGCAGCCAGCAGGAGACTTTCCACTGACTTTAACAGGCTTTGGATTGGGGCCTGGCTGAGCTGGCATTTACATTAGCTGTTTAAATAAATCCCAGAAGGAAGGGGTCACTTTGTGGAAAAACAGAAGTAGAAAAGGGAGATGCATTTTCCCTTCCTAAAGGAAAGAGGTTCTTCTGGTTAGTAAGAGCTGCCAGGTATGTGGGCTCTTGCAAAGCTTGTATTGGTTGCTCGTCACTTTTTAATCATGAGTGCTTGGGCTCAAGTGAACCCTGTACAACAGTGATGGTTCTTAGGAGAAAATACTTACCCCTACAGCAGCAAATGCTGCTAGAAATGCATCCCATGGCTTCCTTATCGCTTAGGCCTTCTGAGCTGAGCTTCCTGCCTTGTGCACATCCCTCTGGGCTTCTTTCTGTCCACCAGAGGAGAGTATATTGTGTTGGCTGTATTCTCCCAGTGGCTGAAATGTAGCCCTTGATCATGTTTCTCTTAGGTCTGATTTGCAAGTTAGGCTTTGATGCTGTGTGGAGCAGGGGGAAGTTTAATTGAGTAACCTTGGATAGTGTGGTGCTCTGAACACTTGTGTCTCATGGCTTCCTCAGCTCTCCCCTGGGGCAGACAAGCTCATATGCAGCAGGAACGCTTTCAAGAGCAGTCTTCTGCTAATTCATTTTTCCCCTGGGCTCGCCAGTGTTTACATACCTCCAGCTCCATGACTGGCCTTGGGTCTGCAACTTGTATTTCCTATTTTTTAAAATGCCTTCTAAGCAACTTTTCACTTTTTCCATATCCTTTTGTTCCACCTTTGTGAGCAGATCCCTCAGAACTTTCTATGTTTTTATTGTTCCTTTCTGCGCCAGCTTTCCATTCCCTCTTTTTGTTAGCTCCTGTGCATGCTAGCCCAAACAATGGGAAGCTGCGAGTAGATTGTCTTGCTGGGTGATGAGTGCTCATTTCACCCAATGTGGATGGCAGCCAGACCTTTGAGGAATTCTGAGCAAAACAATGTGTCTTCTCTGCTCATGTGCACTGGGCAGATGCAATTCCAGGTTATGCCAGGGTATGCATGAACCTAGGGTCCCCCTGACCCTGGCCTGGTCATCACATTGAGCAGAGGCACTGCCTTAGTAGTAGATTGGGCTCCTCTACCCTGCCAAGGGAGTTCTTGAGAGAGAAAAGTTAATGGAGCTGGAAAAGTGCAGATGGGGGCTGCTGTAGCTGTGCCCCTGCCCTGCCTGGGGCTGGGTGGCTGCTGCAGCCCTCCTGGGGCAGAGGAACCAGGCACAGGCATGGCCTAGCTTTGGTCTAGAGCAGCTGTTAGAGGTGTCTGCTCTTCCCTTGCTTGAGGGCTCTCCTACAACTTCTTGTGTGAACAGGAGCATAAGTTGTGCCTTCCTGCCTCAGGTGAGGAGCCCAGCCAGAGGCTGTTTCCATCTTCTGCCTCCAGCAGTGGCAATAGGGGTCTCCATGCCAAGGAATCAGGAGATTTCCTCCTCTCCCACCCCTGTGGCCCAGCTCTGCCAGTAACAGGAAAAGCAGATTGACAAATTGGTTTGACCCTTATAGGAATGATCTGTAAAGAGGAGGATCATGGAAAGTGACCGCTGACCCATTCACATCTATCACTATGATGAGCATTGGCCGACAGCTTGCCCTCTTTCTGCTGTCTTTGAGAAAGGGAGAGGGGCTCTGTCAGTGTCCTGAGGAAGAGTTCACCTTGCACAAGTCCTGCAGCAAGCACCGCTATTCAGCAGCCTTGGCAGGGAAGCCAGAGCTGAAGGGCTTTCTCTCTGTCCTCCCTCAGAAGAGACTCCTGAACTGACACATCTGTAGGGCAAACTGCTTTCCTGTGTGTTAAGGAAATCATGGGTCTGTTGAGCCTTTATCTTTCATAGGTTGTGGATACACTTCTGTTGGAAAGAGAAGCTTGGGTTTAAAATAAAGCTAACCAAGACTACAGCTCTCTCTACCAGGGTGTCCTCAGCTCCCTGGCAGTCTTAGTGACTGCCATGTAAATACCTCAAAGCTAACAGGCTTGCTTCAGATACTCAAGAAAGAGCACTGTCAGTGAGAGCTTGGGTATAAGCCAGTGAACTCTTCCCTAGAATTCTGGGTAACTTTGGTTCATGTAACTCAAGATGCAAGGAGCCACGTTTCTGCAGGGATGGAGAACTGTACAAACTGACTTACACTAAGGCTAAGTATAAGCTAGCTGTGGCTCTAGTCCAGGAGACTGTGTTCAGCAAGAGGTAACCCATTACACCCTCTTTAATTGGGTGGAGATGTATTGACCTGCAACAGGACAGCCTGTTTCTTGCCAGGAGAACCCTTCTGCCTAGTATTTTCTCATGTGGTTTCATGGTCTCTTTCTGGCTCGTTCCACTGGCTGTCATGGTGACACAATGCGAGAAAGATAAACAGTGTGAATACCACATAGGCAGTGAACTTCCTGAGTGACAGCTTTGGGAAGGGACACCACAGGACCTACTAAAACCAGAATAACAGCCAATTTAGCTATATTAGTAACTTCCTCTGATCTTGGAGATAGCACTGGAGAAGGACAGAGCATTACCAGAGACACCCAGCTACTGCTGTTACTGTTGTTGCAAAGCTACAAAATAGCAATCTGTAAATTTTGGTCTTGCATCAGTGCAAAAGGGCCTTTTTGAAACGCTGGATGGGTTTTCTTCAGTCTAACAAGCCGTTGCTGTGGCTGACATTTCAATAGCTTCTCTTAGGTGTTACTGCGAGTGTCCCTTTGAGGCACTAAGTGGAAGGATTTTGGAAATGCTCATGAAATCTGTGCATGTTTTAAAGGAATGTGAGGAGCTCTGCTGTGGAGTCTGGAGTTCCAGTCCAAAGAGACAGAGCAGGGTGCCTGGGGGATCTGGGAGTGCAGTGAAGGAAAGAGAGAGACTCCTTATTTTGACTATATTTAAGGGTTTGCTTTCTCAGCTGTGCACATCCAGTTTTCTGATTGTGTGTTTAGTCCCTCCTGGTCCTTAGATGTAGTGACTGAACAAATCTTTCCTTCCTCTCACCTCTTTTCGTTCTTGTTGCAACCCAGCGAGAAGTGGTTTGTGTGGTTTTTAAATACCAAAACTTCACCTGGCTTCTGGCTACACTTGAGAGAGACCTTGGATAGATTCCATAAAGACCTAACACTGTAAAATACTTCACAGTCTACTTATTGAATACTGCTATTCCAGATAATAAAGTTAAGGGGGAATTCAACTACCTAGCAGATCCAAAGGAAATCCGTGTGCCATTGGGCTGTGGTACAGAAGGGTTATGTTTCCAGGTCACTGATAAAAGCCTGGTGAGGGAGTGCCAGCTGCAATGTTTAAGTATGGGCAGTTTATGCCCAGTGGTGTTGGCAAATTGTGAGGGAGACCCAGAGAGGGTGTCTCGTGTCCAGAACTGAGCTTGAGCACTCATCGCTAGCCTTAACAGGAAGATGACTGCTGCTGGGACAAGTTCCACGGAGCATTCACTGCTGGCAGGTCAGCCTAGCAGGAAGGCTGTTTTCTAGGAGATTAGATAACTGACTGACCCTCTGTCCCTGCACTGCCTTCAGTGGGACAGGATATGCAATGTTAATGATTATGGGCAGCATGGCCAAATTCTTGAAGCTACCTTGTTTTCAGGTGGAGACTGAGTCATATTCCTTGCATCAAGGAGAACACCAACCCCCTTGGCCCTGTACCTTTGCCTTCCTTTTCTGCTCTTGTGTTATGGAAGATGTTCTTCCTATGTCATGTGCTTTGCACGTCATATTGGAACAGTCTCCTCTGATCTAAAAAAAACAGGAACACTTTGTCTAAAGGGTGTTTAAGAGTTGTGCTGGTGGCAAATCCCCAGGTTGTTCAAACTCTTTGAATTCAATCACCTCCTGTGCATCATGTGTATGGCTGAGCCTTAATAACAATACAAACCTTGGTGGTGCACATTTTCACTGTTCTGATGGTACCTTTGGGCTGCATTCTCCAAAGGTGTGTAGCCAGTGCTGAGAGGGGGACAAACCATGTCCAGGTCAGATCATTCAATTCTGCTTCTCCAGGTGTAGCATTTTCCCTACTCCTGGTACCCTAGCATTTCTTTTCCCAGATGATGGAGAGCATGCAGAACTGTGGCTGCACCTGAACTTGGAGCTGCACACATGCAGTAGGCATGTGTAAGGAAGGAGAGCTGTTTCCTTTGATTATTCAAGTCCAAGCTATGCATGCATATCTAAATCTGAATGACCTTTCCTCTTTTCACAGGCATAACATGGGGCAAGGTGGTGTCTCTCTATGCTGTGGCAGCTGGGCTGTCAGTGGACTGTGTGCGGCACGCACAGCCAGCCATGGTTCACACTATCGTAGACTGCCTGGGGGAGTTTGTCCGCAAGACCTTGGTGACATGGCTGAAGAGGAGAGGAGGCTGGGTAAGAGATGCTGTCTGACTGAGCTTGCTCCCACACATGCAGACCAGAAAATATCCCAGCTAATGAAAGCCAGAGTATCCCCACTGCAGCTTTGAGCAGAAAAACATTGGATGAGATTCTCTTCCACAGCCACCACTGTCCTACTTACACCTCTCTTGGGCTCCATGTAGCTCTTACTGCCTTCTGGTCCTGTCCTTGACAGCATCAGCTGCTTTGGTCCTCAGCTTCCTGTGTAGCTGTGCCAGAATAATTCAATCCTAGCTCACCAAGGCCTATTCTGTTCCTGACCTGCACACCTCTGGAGCTGCCAGCCAGTCATAGCCAGAGACTGTAAAGAGGGGTCATTCTGTTGGGCAGCTCTTTTCTAGAAACTGAAAAAAATGAGGCCTGCCAACTTAGTTCCCCTTTCATCTGCTCCATGGTTCTCCAGATCAAAGCTTAGTATATTAACGTGACTTACCACCATAAGGAATTTGAAAGGGATATTGAAACTCAGTAGTTTGTGCCATTCCCTGACCTTTAGAGTGTTCCATGAATAACTTCTGAAGTAGCTCAAATTGTAGCACACTTATGCTTTGAAGGGCACTCATAACACCCATCCACAGTGGGAGGGCTCCTGGCTATGTCATAGGACTGCTCTGAGACGATGGGTAAAGCATGGTGCTGCTCTGCACTGGTTTGGATTCCATATTATATGGCTTTAAGCATCTGGTTTATTTGGTTCTCTCTCTACCCAATGGAAAATACAATGCTCTTGTGAAGGATGGTTCAGAGTAAGAGCTTTACTTTGGTGCTGTGAAATAGCCAGACACTTTTCTAGTGACCTCCCCAGGAGACTGAGCTGACTGGTTGGCTATGTAAGTGGTTAGCAGTTGGGTAATGTACAGATGTGCCAGGGTCTTTGTGCCTTTCTGGCAGGGATATAGACTCTTCTTGGAGCAATATAACCAAAAGCACTTTGTACTGCTGGCGGATGCTGCCTGGAGGTAAATACTGCCATATGCCACCACTGAGATCATGGGACATCTTGTTCCCGACATATGCACTCTTTCCAGACTGAGCCACAGTTGCAAATCCCCTCCTTCCCAAGAAGAGGGCTTATTCCCAAGCCATCAGGAAACGGTCAGGCTCCCAGCCCCACTCAGACCAGAGAGATGTCTTTTTCCAAACTGAACATTGCTTCTCTGTGCTGAGGCCCCCCCAGATGTGCCTGTACCTAACTCAGTCACCCAGTTTCTCCAGGAGTGAAGCAGCTTTTTGATAAAGGGCAATTGGAAAAGTGGCGTTGTTCTGAATTTGGATCCTTTGCGTTTGCTAAGTGTGATTGCCACCTTAAATCGTCCTTGCCCTGTCTAAAGCTATGTGACTTTGTGTTCTCAACTGAGTCAGGGAACTGCTTGATTGGGCTGAAAAGTGACCTCTAATCTGAATGTCCTGAAGTGTTTCATTTTGCATTTGCACAAATAATTGTGCTGAGGCAGGTGAAGAGGAAATCCTGGGAAAGCAACTGATTAAGTAGCACTGTTCCTGCCTTTGAAATCCCTGCCTCACTATCATTTGAGGCTTACTTTAACTGGGTACCTGTAGAGATGGTTGAAATGTATTCTCTGAAACAATTTTTCCTTTGGAAAAAAATCCAGTTTCATTAAAATTGAAATGTTGCATAGGAACACATCTCCTCCTAGTTTCCAACTATTTTTTTCCTTTGTTTTGGTAAGACATGCATGCTCTGATAAGTTAGCATCTTGTTTTAATTTTTGTATTACATTATTAGAATTCAAAACTGGGTGTTTTGATAGTTCCAAATGGATATATTTTTAAAGTTTGTTGCGTAGCAAACAAGCCACAAAACCCATCCTCAGACCAGAAGCAGTTCCTTGAAGGTGAGTAGATAAGTCCTATCCACAGATAGGTCCTTCTGCCCCTGATCCCTCTTTGTATGGCAAGCATACTTCTATTGAAGTTGCTAAACATATGCTGCTTCCTCTTGGGATCTGGCCCTAGGAAAGGGAAGCCAATCTCACTGCCCCCTATCAAGCTAAGCAACTGTAAAAGCTGCTGGGTTGGGCTGATTACAGCCTGTCTCCAGTACTCTTATCAGCAATTTTGGGCTGCAACAAGGAGTTATTTTCCCTCTAGAAATGAGTGGTTCCTTCAGTCTGGGGAAAGGCTGCTCATCCTCTTGCCATCTTGCGCTGTGCTTTCCTGAATGTTCCTCTTGATCCAGGCACTGCAGTGTGAAATTTCCCAGCCTTGTTTACAAATGTGCCAGACAAATCACTCTGTAGTGGGGATCCGTTCATCTGCTGGTTGTTAGTTTGTCTTGGTACGGAATCCTCCTTTCCCCTGTACACACAGTCCCCATCTCTTACTCATCAGCTCAGGCTCAGCCTGCCAAGAGGAGCCACTGTGCTTCGAGCTGTCCCACAAAAGCCACGGTGATAGACCTTGAAAAGGCATTTGAACTGCTTAGCAGCAGGTTCTGATACCATCTCCATAGGATGGAGAATGACCCTACCCCTCAAAGCCCAACCCAAAACAAACCTCTTAGGAGAAACAAGAAATGTTTCACCTTTTAAGGCACCATCTCTCCCTGGGGAGAGTTTGCAGTCTCAGCAGAAAAGAAAGGGGGTTTTTATTACTTTTTTTCAGCATCTGTTACATACATTAGCTGCAGAGAAGAGCATGGGACTTGAACTCGTTTGAACAATTAACAGGCAAAGATAAAACTGACATTGCAGCAGATTATCAGCGCCTCACAAGACTAAAAGGCCTGTTTTATTTTCAGTTCCAGTGGCTTATCAGGTATGCTTTATTTGGATAACAGTAGCTGAGGGAGTTGTTAAACAGCTGAGCAATTTTGTTTATCTAAGCAAGCACAATGCAAATTTGTTACGTTCTTCTGACTGCAGCTCCTCTTGATTAACCGCAGCGAGTTCATTGCCTTTAGTAGGGAGTCCACACTTTCTCGTCTGGAAGTCAACCTTCTGCAGCTATAATCAACCTAGTGCTCATAGCTGGGCTTTGTACTGGTTCACATGAGGCACTTAAAACGTTTAGAGCTTAGGTTTATTATTGTTCAGCTGCTTTAACATCTAAATACATGTTCAGGCTGGTAACTGCACATTATGACTTATCTTGACTAAAGAGACAGCTTGACACAGCTGCATTTTAAATATGACATGGTGCAGGTCCCTAAAATTGGGTAGGCTGAATAAGGTCAGACTGTTTTCAAATGCAAACAGGGTGACTTTGCTAAGCCATCACTGAAAGCTTTTAGGCAGACCCATTTTACTTCCCTCTACAATGCATTTCCTCCTGTCACCCTGTTTCTGCCCATAGTTTCATGCCTGTATTCATTCCTCCTGCAGTCTCCACTTCTCAGTTCTTTGTGGGTTCAGCATCTCCTAGTGATCCCTGAAGAGCAGCAGCGCAAGGGTGATTCAGCATGCCAGCCATTCAGACTTCTATGTGTGAAATGTGAGGAAATGTGTGGGAGGCCAGCCTCAAGACTGCTGTCAACAGACCTTTGGTCTGAAGATCATGGTGGAGTCGGTTAGTGCAGCTGTACTCACTACCAGGGCATGAGGATTTGTCCCCTCAGTCACCTTTTGTTTTCTTCTGGTTATTACCAAGGTTGGTCAGGTGAGGCTCAATGTCTTGAACACAGGCAGAAATACTGGTAAAGATTATTGTATTCAGTAGCTCTTGTGTCCTGTTCTGTAGCAGGAACATCTCAGGGTTGAGAGTGTGACTTCCCCCTGCTTGGTCAATGAGAGACCTGTGTCAGAAGGCAAACTTGGAAAACCGCTGAGCTAAGCCTGTAAAGAAAAAGCTGTTTGCCCCCTTCTGACCTGATTCTTGTTCACATTTGCCACCCAAAAGGCATTTTTGAAAACTGTCAAGTGGATGTGCTAGTAGAGCACCCTCTGTTACAGAGCTACAGTCCGTCTGTCTCCTTGTGCTAGCCTGGAGTTTAATCAAACTCAGTTATATCGCTGAAGGAACTTTGTTTCCCCCACCAGAAGATGCAATTTTCTATCTACCTCTGTCCCGTTTGCTTTACCCTCCAGATATTTTCCACCTTTTCTTTCCAATGCCAGCTGAGATCCTGTCTTCATGAATTTGCTGGATTGTTGTCATTTTTATTCATTGCAGGCCAACTTCTATTCTTGTTAATACTTGAAGCCAGCTGCCCAAGCGATCTTTAAATCTGGCCCACGTGTCTGGGAGGCATCTCTGCCAGCACACATATTTCCACAAACAAAGCTTGCATTGCTTTAGATTTAAATTGAGGGTTGGCTTGCTTGAACGAATTCCAAATAAAACATTAAGGGAAGAGAAAAAGTACAAGCAACTTGAGCTGATATTAAACAGGACAACCTCTGGGAAGCATCTTACTTTACAGAAAAGGGTGGGAATGCTGATACTGCTAAGCCCTCCTAGCTCTTTTGAAAAGGGAATAAAAGTTTCTCTTATTGAGCTATTCTAAATGGAAGATGCTTGACAATCTTGCTGTAGCATTTCTTTCCCCAGGAGTGAAGAAAGGGGATATTGAATTTTTTTGGTGCAGAATGAGGAAAATGTGTTTTGTAGAGCTCTTGAGCCCAATTTTATAACTCACAGTGGAAGGGAAGTGGAGGGAAGGAATGCCATCCAGAGGGACCTTAACACACTTGTGAGGTGGGCTGATGCCAACCTCATGAAGTTTAACCATGCCAAGTGCAAGGTCCTACACCTGGGTCGGAGCAATCTCAGGCACAGCTACAGGTTGGGCAGAGAAGAGATTCAGAGCAGCTCTGTGGAGAAGGACTTGGGGGTGTTGGTTGATGAGAAAATGAACATGAGCCGGCTGCAGTGTGCGCTCGCAGCCCAGAAAGCCAACCGTATCCTGGGCTGCATCAAAAGGAGCATGACCAGCAGGTCGAAGGAGGTGATCCTGCCCCTCTACTCTGCTCTTGTGAGACCTCACTTGGAGTATTGTGTGCAGTTCGGGTGTCCTCAACAAATAAAAGGACATGGAACTGTTGGAACAAGTGCAGAGGAGGGCCACGAGGATGATCAGGGGACTGGAGCACCTCCCGTATGAAGACAGGCTGAGAAAGTTGGGGCTGTTCAGCCTGGAGAAGAGAAGGCTGCATGGAGACCTCATAGCAGCCTTCCAGTATCTGAAGGGGGCCTATAGGGATGCTGGGGAGGGACTCTTCATTAGGGACTGTAGTGATAGGACAAGGGGTAATGGGTTAAAACTTAAACAGGGGAAGTTTAGGTTGGATATGAGGAAGAAATTCTTTCCTGTTAGGGTGGTGAGGCACTGGAATGGGTTGCCCAGGGAGGTTGTGAATGCTCCATCCCTGGCAGTGTTCAACGCCAGGTTGGACAGAGCCTTGGGTGACATGGTTTAGTGTGAGGTGTCCCTGCCCATGGCAGGGGGGTTGGAACTAGATGATCTTAAGATCCTTTCAACCCTAACTATTCTATGATTCTATGAAGTGTCAGAGCAAACATTTGTGTTGTGAACAGTGTGGCACAGTGGAGCTGCAGCAATGATGGTGAGGTGCTGTGGGTTGTGGGGCCAGGAGAATTTGCCCTGGTGGCTGAGGTGGTTCAAGGCATCTCTCTGACGATCTCTGTTCCCTCCACTATAGGCAGACATCACAAAATGCGTGGTGAACACTGACCCCAGCCTCCGCTCCCACTGGCTCGTGTCCGCTGTTTGCAGCTTTGGTCACTTCCTCAAGGCTATCTTCTTCGTCCTGCTGCCTGAGAGATGAACTCAAGTCATCAAGTGCAACCCCCCTGCCCCATCTCCTCCCCCACTCCAGAAGCAGCGGTAGTGCCAGTCTCTGAAGAGGAGGAAGAGAAGACCCGTGTCAGACAGAAGGCTTGTTCTCCTCTCCCTTCAGCTGGGAGCAAGTGATCAACCACAGTCTCCTTGTTGCACCCACAGGAGAGACTCTCACCATTAATCCTTTCAAGAGTCTTGTTTGCCTGGGGACTTGCTTGTGTGGCCTGGACATTGCCAGTCCCTGGGCATGCTGATTGCAGCTGTGTGCAGTGTGGACTGTCTGACATCGGTGTCTTATGGCTCTGTTCCATGCTTATGCTAGTGCCAGGCAGAGGGGAGGAGGAAGGGGGTATTATTTGAAATGGGTAGAGTCTCTCCTTCTCTCCATGTGATTCTCCTTTCAGTCCGCAGACTTGCCTTGCATCAGTTCTTGTTACTCTTGTGCTTAAACTCCATCTCCTTCTTTATACCCAACTCTGACTTGCTGGGCTCTGTCCCCAGCACTGCACAGTGGAGGGGAAAATGCAGCTGTGGGGTTTTATTGTGATTAAGCCCAAACATACTGTCATCAGATGCTTGTCCGTGGCATATCCTGGAAATGGGACTGCATGAGGGACAGATGCATGGGATGCAGTTTGCAGTGTGTTTCATCGACCCCTCTTGGTGTGCACGTGCCATTTCAAACAGGAGAGCAAGGGGCAATGCCTTCAAGCAATAACTTGGAATTGCATTTTGTAATGAAGAAGAATGATTTCTCCACTGGGGTTTTGTCAGAACTAAGCATGTAAGTAGGAAAGGCTGGGGAGCATGGGCAGGAATTAGGGAAGCAGTAAGTGATGTTTAAGTTGTGAAAGGGGAAAGCTGTGTCAGATGTAGCTGGTTTATGTTTCTCGATGAATGTCTTCAGGAGTACAACTTGCAGTCATTTGTGTGGCAAACAATAAAAGAAAATAGGTGGTGTTTCACTATTGCAAAGGGTATTGTATTTGTTTCCAAAGTTAAAAATTCCAAAAAAGGCCAGAGCAGTGCAGAGACAAACACTCAGGCCATGCTAAAAATATTCCAGCTTTTCCCCTGGTAGAACATGTTAACGTGTTAAAACTACAACTCGCCTGGTTCATGACAGAAATTTAACCCATGTTGTTACCATGTCAGAAACATGGTGTTTTCACTGACAATATTGAGGCCCTGCTTCTGTTTGCAAGGCAAGGCAGTGGAGACTCTTCTCTGCCAAAGCCTCACAACGAGACGCTCAGCAAGGTGCCTTGCTCCCAGGAGCATGATGTTGCAGAAAAACTCTGCTCTGGGTTAAGCACATGTTGCATTACAGGAGGTTTTGCTGTTTGTCTGGTGCTTTTTAAATCCTGATTTCCCTCCCGCAACCTGTGTTTAGAGGGGCTTCACTCCTTCGGTTCAGAAGTAACAAATGGTTTGAGAATAAAGCAAAGCCTTTACGTTTTGGTTATACCTGTGCAACAGATTTCTGCTAGCAAGTACCGTGCTGTGCTCTGACCAAAAGAACACTGGCAGAGGATATGTAGGTGGTTATACCCTTGCACAGTGCTAAAGCTATTCTTTTAACTGGTCTAGCCTTTTGCACTTCTTCTGATGTTTTGACATATGGGCACCGGGCCCAGTGAAGGCTGCTCTACCTGCTCAATCTACTTATTCAATAGAAAAGTAAGTCTTGAGGAGCAAAACCTTGGGAAGAGAACCTCTCCTTGTCCCCAGTCCCCCAGCAAAAACCCTCCCTGAGGAGGAGAAAGCTTCCTGTTCTGTATCAAAGCAGCATTCTGCCTTTGACAGTGTCTAGGCAGATTTTGGCTGCACTAATAAAAAGGGGGGTGGTGGGGCTTATACTGACAAAGTTCCCAGTGTGGATGCAGCTGGTGGTGCCCTGGGGTTGGTACATTTTTGTGTGTAAAGCTTGCAGCAGTTGCCCAGCTAAAATCAAATTGCCAAAGGATTATCTTTTTTTTTTTCTTCCTGGTGTAATTACATTAGGGTTTTTGCTGGCACTTCTCCCACTTGGGATTTTCCTCCTTATATTCGTGATAGATCTGGCTATGAAAACTTAGACCAGGTATAGCATATGTATGAAGTAAACTAATCGTGCTTTGAGCAGTGTGGAAAGGGTTCCCTCTGGTCTGCATTAGACTCAGCAAAAGCTGCGTATAGTTCATCGCAGGGGGATGCAGCTTTGTTGTCTTAAAGGAGCTTATGGAAAAGCAGACTTTGGATTTCTGGAAATACCCTGGTGGTGTGTAGACTTTGCCTTGGACAGCCTCACAGCTCATAAAGTCCAGCTTGCCTTATCATTCCTAGTGTTTTATGAAGTGAGTTAATGGAGCTAGCACAGGACCTTTCTCTATTTAGATGCTGTTTTGAAATGTCATACTTGAGACTGTGACTGCTTTTTCAGTAAACAAGTGACATCAGAGGCACTGTTAAGGAGCACAAAGAGTTAAATGCACCAATTAAATGGATTTAATAACAAGATAATGACAAGCCAAATAAAGCAGCATTGCTGGAAAGGAATGTGTGTGGGTGGGAAGGGGGTTATGGAAGCAGCAGACAGAGACTCCGTCTGGAAACTTGATAATGAAGAGGTGGTGGAGCTCCAGACAAATGGGTTGCAGACTTCTCTGGATCTTGCCTTTCTTCTTGCATTTGCTAGTCCCTGCAACATGCTGAGCAGCGTGGTGTTCATCTTGCGCTTAATGTTAAACCAGGATGGTACTTCTGCCCTTCTTGCTCCTTCTGTGATAACCACAGTGGCACCAGTCCTGCTACCAAAATAAACAGCAAACAAAATTGCACACCCCGCTGTGCATTTGGGAAGCAAGCAACAGTCTTGAGCTTGATTCAGCCAAGTGTTTATGCTGCCTTCAGTTTTAGTTGTAATGTTTAGGCATTTCAGAGTACTTCCAGAGGTCCTATACAGACTCAACAGCTCTGTGATTTTTCTTTTCCCTCTGCTCTTTTTGCCAGTCCTACCTGATGGGAGACATCAGGGTTGGCTGTTTATCACCCCAATAAACATTTTCTTTTACTATGATTGGTGATGTTCCTAGGAGTGTGTCTGATTTATTTAGCTGTTAAAGAAAACCAAGAATGTAAGTACCAAGGTTAGTACTGTTATGCTGCTTCATACTGAAAGCCTGTCTGTTATCTTCCAGCATCAGAAACTGAAAACCCCCAAACCAACCATCTCACATTCCCCCTCTCCCCATGTTTCCAATTATCTGCTTGAGAAAATTGCTTGTATTGAAAGTTGCCTTTATTTTTTTAAGCTGTTTTTCTCCCATTGAATGTTCCAAGTGAGACTTACGGACACACAAACTGTCTTGGGGGGTTGCTCCCAGTCACCTTTCAGTCCACTGCCCAGTTTTCCCTCCATGTGCTAAAGGGCAGCAGTCACAACAGGGACAGGGGACAGATCTCCTTTTAGCACAAGGAAAGGTGGCTGCTGTTCACCCTGTTGGGCAGCAGTTACTTCTTATTATTAAGCCCCGGTATCGGTATATCTAAAATCGAGCCAAGGGGGGAAGGTGAAGCAGTTGCAGTGGGGGTCTGGAGGAAGGATGGGAGATGCACAGGGAGTACTGGGGGGGGAGGGAGAAAGGGTTAGAGACAGGAAAATGGTAACTTAATTATTTCAATGTATATGGAGTATTTTGCAGGTGAGATTGGCCTGTGTGTTGTTACAGCAGGGAATGTCAAGGTCAGCTAAGCCTGGAGGAACCTGAGCTTCACCACTCCTTTGTTCATGGGAGAACTTTCTCCAGTAAGGATTATTCACACACACACACCCCACTGCCATCTTCAGTCTCAGTTTGTTTGTAACAGACCTGCATTCAGTCAACAGAAATACCTCTTTTATCAAAAAGGTAGAGAGTAGGAAAGCCATCTCAGCTTGGGTATTTCAATGACAAACATTTGAGCAATGCTTATCATGTCCTAGTCATTGCTTTAACCACAGCCTTACACCTTCCCCTTGTCAAACATTGGCAGTAGGTTCACCTTCTTCAAAGCAACTTAGAGAAACTGAAGTGGTCTCTGTCCCACAGAAGATGTCTCTTGAGTTCCTGCACTGATTTTTCTCCTGTAAATGGAAAGAAAACAATCTGTGAAGCCCTTAATTTATCAGTCTTGCTGTTGTTCTGCACTTCAGTATGTAACACAGATGTTGGGGAGCAATACCAGACTTCCTCATTTTCAAACTTGTTTAGACCCTGAGAGAAAGCTCTGCCTATTTTATATTATTATTATTCTCCTTCTAATATGCAAAGTCTGCAAGCTTTAGGTTGTTGGGTTCGCTTTTTTGTTTTACAATTAAACTGAATATGAGTCAAGTCCCTTAAACAGCTTTCTGAAAAGATCAAGCCCTTAAGCTATTCTGAAAGCTCTGCCAAGAGACTTCTTGATGAGGCTCTCATCAACATGTGTCTCCTTGAATTTCGTTATTGGTGTTGGTTTTATAAATCCAGCATGTATAATTTTTATAAACATAAATTTGCCACAGATTAATTATTCTCTTAGGGCACCATGAAAACAATGCATGCTGCTAAAGTAAATACAAGAAAACAGTAATTTGCTGGCAGAGTCTATAAATTTCTTCTATATAAGTGGTTTGACAGATGGAGTTTAAATACTCCCTCAGAAAAGCCCGTAACCTCTTTAACTCTAAACATTTTGACCCACTGGGATTATGAGCCCGTAGCACAGCTAAACAGAGTGATCCTTAGCTGAACTTTACACCGTCACCCAGGACCTGGAAGCACATTGCACATTCAAGCAGAGTCTGTGGGAAATAGAGCGCTCCTGGGTCAATCACACGACATGAGCCCATGTCCAGGCAAGGTCAGATGAAAAAAAAGCTTTCCCTCTCACAGAGGGAGAAGGGGAAAAAAAAAGTGTTGGGATGGGAATTTCCAGCTTCCTTACAAGCATATTTCAGAGCTTTAGCTCCAATGAAACTTCATCTCTTTTCTCTGCCCATAGACCAGTGAACAGCACTAGAGCCTGTCTTCTCCGTCACGCAGGAAGATTTGACATCTCTGCTTATGGCAAACAGTGAATCGTGAAGCTAAGCTCAGAAAAAAAATCACTGAAGAGATCAATCCCATTTAAAATTTCCACTTCTGACCCTATCATCTCAGGACCTTCACTCATACTTTTGTTAAGCTCCACTTTTAAGCAAGATAAGTGTGTTTTCTACCTCCAGAACATTCTCATCCCCTGCTGGAACATGGGCTTGATCTTGAGTCCCTTTCAGTTGACTGAATGGCAACTGTTTTGGGCTTGGAGGATGATGGGCAGTACTGAGGACTTCCATGGTTACTACTCTGATGGGAGCCA